TCAAACCAAAGAAATGCATTTTAAAAGAGCTACAGACAAGCTCTAGTATTAAAACATTTTCAATGTAAGCTTCAAGAAAGAGTGCTAATGCAATAGATAGGAACTGTGCAGTCCACTCTGGTCTCAAGGAAACGGTAACCAGCTTCCTTACAAAGTGGTAAGTCTTATTCTAGACACATCACCTCATGTTTTGTGTGTGAACTTCTGAAAAGAGGATTTTCTCTTCTTTATTTCAAACTGCTAAAATTTGTATTGCTTGACCAGGTAACGTTTCTTCTTAATGTTACATCTACCACAGGGGTGTATATTGTATAAAGTGACATGAGCCTAGGAATAAAATTACACCGGAGGTTAGCGGTTTTGACACTTAGTGAATAAATGTGTGAGTTTTAATGTGTGCAGAATAGCAGGGGTAAAGGGTTTCACCTATCTGTGGTTTTGTTAGGCATGTGAGTATCTATGATAGCGCACCGTGACTTTCCCAGAGCAGTGAAAGAAACAGCATCTTTTGTTGTTCTCACTAGATGAGTAGCTGAGTACTATATAGACCTGTGACGTCAGCATTGCAGACCAACTTCTTATTCCAAATTCATTTCTCAAAGGTACTCTCTTCACAGTGATGGAATTTAACATCTATTTCTTCAGGTCGATGAATTCATAAACATATTACAAATACTTGCTCCTAAAATAATATCCTAAATGTAAGTTTTCCATAACCTTTACCGCTACCCCTAATGCTAATACTGTCTTCAGCACTGCTGTGTGCTGGTGGTGTGTGTTCCCCTTTAACACGCTCTATGACAGACAAGAGGTAGGTACTGTGACTAACAACCACTTTAGAGATGAAGAAACCAAGAGAAAAAAGAGGGTTAGTATATTACCAAGGGCCCCAGCTTGCTGTGTGCAAACCAGGCCTGCCATTTGTTTCTCAAGTGGTGCTCAGACAGACTTCTGTACTCCATCTCCAAGGATGGCCTCCACACTCACTGCCTGTGGATGCCCAATAGTTAGACAAGTACATTAATAACGAGGGTAGCTGTGCAGTAGACACTAAGCCTTCCCACTGGGTAGATTGTAGGTGTTTGAGCCCCCTTGTTATCCATGAATTTCTGTTGAGATAACATTAGGGAACCTCTCTGCTTTTGTTTTTGGTGCATGGTGGCATATGCATCACATACCAGTGACCCATCTCGTAAGCCCAGTTGATACTCCATCCTCTCGCTGTCCACCCTGGGTTCAGATGGTGCTCTGACCCCTAATGTTCTTCATGTGGCTTATTTCCATGACGGCTGGTGGAAGCTTCGTGTGTGAATCTAAACCTGGAGTCTGAGTCCGTCAGTGCGTCCTTAGTATAAAGTAGCACTGTAACGAGTGCCTATGTCATGCCTGTGTGTGTAAGAGCTGTGTGAGGCCAGTGGCCATCATGCAGTGTGGGGTCAGTCCTGCTGTCCATTCATACCCAGCACCATTTCTTCATGAGAAACGCGGCCTTGGTGGTAGCAGCCCCTGCATTACCTCTGGTACTTGTGTGTTAACCCTGTGGGTGTTGCCGTTCCTTTTACCTGCAGCCTCTCGACGTCATTCCAGGTCCACTAGTGCTCTCTCCACTGCTGAATCTGTTGGGCAGTCAGGTGAACAAGTGCTAACTGCATGACTCGGCTTCTCCATCCATCCTCCCACCCCCATGCCAGCCTTTGTTGTCATTGTGTCAGCTAGCGCTTGGCATGTGTGCACCTCATGTCCACCTTCCTGTGTTGTTCTTTTTTTGAGTTGTTGAATGTTTATGGTTCTGTTCATAGGCTTGATGCTTGGTCACCTGTTTGGCATTGTTTCTCTAGCATTCATATCTACATCAAAACAAAAATCAGGGAAGTACTTTTTCCTTCCTCAAACCCCCCTCCCAGGAAAAGAACAACCTTAAGTAGGTGTCACTAGGCCTCCCATCCAGCAGCAGTGTACTGCCAGATGCTAAATTAGCCATGTTAGTGTCAGGTACCAGTTTCACACACCTCAGATTACAGCATACATAATGTCACAATATGAAAATAAATATATTGCCCAGAAAGCTTTATAGAAAAGCAGGGTCAGGATCCAGGCCATGAAGAGGCAAGAGGTTAATCTCATTGCCTGTGAACTCCAAACCTGTCTCAGCTTCACTTAAGCAAAACCCACTGCTCATAGGAGTAAAGAGTGAGTGTCTAAAGATGCATCCATATGTCACCTTAACTGGCGTCATTGTCATACACTAACAGCCCCTAATGGCTAGTTTCTCAATGGAGTCAGCATGCTCTACTAATTCACGTACTGTTAACAGTGCCAATGCTTACCTGTTTATCAAGTGAATGTGAATCACTTGCCCTTTCAGCCTTCTAAATGAAGCCAGCTGCATGTTTTCACCATGTAGGCTTTGATCAAATGTGTTCCCTTAAGGATTAGGGGCCAGGCTGAGGATGCAGTCCTCTGTATCAATCCTTTGGAAAACAGCTTTATCACAATGTTGGAACAGTGAGCATGGACCACAGGGTTTTTGCCTGATGAAAACAAAAAGCCTGTCATTCTACTTAGATCTAGACAAGCATGTCCCCTTCAGATCCACAGGTCACATTGTCTACTTTATCAGATGACCGACAATTGCTGTGAGTGGCAAAGCTATATGCATCTGGGAAGCACTGAATCTTTGCTTTATTCTTAAAAAGTTTTAATTTTCTGTCTGAAAAGATCCAATATTATCCCTGGAATAAGAATTGCTGGCATGAAATCTACTTGTGTTTTTTTTTGTTTGTTTGTTTGTTTTGTTTTATTTTGTTTTTTATTTTTGTTTGTTTTTAAGACTTTATGTGTATGCTGGGTAACTTTTAAATGGCTTTTAACTGAATTACTCATTTCGTTACTCATAAATCCCCTGCTATCTACCCTTTTTTAATGGAAAAAAAATACTTGAACCAAAATTACTTACAAAACAGCATGCATATAACTCTCAATTCTATCCCTGCTTCACGTTCTAACAAATGAGCATACATATGTAGGTATGAGTTGACTGTCCATGGTCTTTGTAGTTCATATAGTAACAGTAACTCACCACCAAAGCCTAATGGAATAAGATGGCATTTGTCATCATCAGCAGTGCATTAAAAAAGGGGATAGTATGACATACAGTTTTTGTTTCTTTATTAAAAATTTTGTGACTGTGTATGAGTCTATTAACTGGCAGTATGTAAATTATTTTCCCTGCCTGTGGTAGTAGAAGGGTAAACTGTTTTGAAAGTGGTATTTTTAAAAAGCTAAATAATGCTTCATTTTAAAGTTCACTAATTTTGCAGATGATGTTTCATTCCCTGTCCAAATGTTTAAATATATCATTTCATAAGCAAGTCAATTCCTAGGGCCCAGCAAGATGGCTCAGCAGGCAAAGGCTTGCCACCAAGCCTGACAACCTGAATTGCATATCTGGTACCCACACAATGGAAAAAGAGAACTGACTCCTGCAAGTTGTCCTCTGACTTCCATTGAGTATCATAGCCCCTCCTCACATAATAATAAATAAATTAAAATTAATTTCAATAGAATGATCAATCCCTAAAGAAATAAATACAATATCTTATTTTAAATGCTGTATTGCTAAAGTGTGTCTAAGGCAGAGGTTTATTTTTCCTTGTCTAAATATTCAAAATGTTTTTTTTAAGATTTTATTTATTTGTTAGGTATACAACATTCTGCTTCTATGTATATCTGCACACCAGAAGAGGGCACCAGATCTCATAACAGATGGTTGTGAGCCACCATGTGGGTGCTGGGAAATGAACTCAGGAACTCTGGAAGAGCAGTCAATGCTCTTAACCTCTGAGCCATCTCTCCAGACCCTCAAAATGTTTTTTATCTTCACATTTTTTTTCTTCTAGAGGTTTCTATGCATTAGAATTTTAATGAGTAAACTTTTCATCAGTAGCTGATGAACCCTCCCTGGAATGTATAATTTCCATGGACTTTCTCCTGCTGTAGTTTTAGTCTTCACACTTTTTAAGGAAAGCTGGTTGGTTGACTTCATGGGACTTGAAGAAGTAAGTTCATTTACCTTGATGAAGAATAGCCTTAGGCAGCTGGATAGGTGGCTGTGTGGGTAAGAGCGCTTACTGCTTCTCCAGAGAACCCATGTTGAGTTGCCAGCGCCTGTGTTACTCAGCTCATAAGTGCCTTTAATTCCAGCTCCAGGGTGTCTGGTGCCCTTTTCTGGCCTCTTAGCACACGTGTGACATACACTCACACAGACACACAAATAAATAAAACTAACTTTTTAAAAGAACTTTAGAGTAATTGCTTAAATTGCTAACAATCATCCTGAGTTTTTGGATTCCTTCTGCCTTATCTATATAAAGTTTGTCATTCAAAAATCCTTGAAGGAACCCAGGTAACATTTAAACTGGTGATATCTAAATGATTGATGTTCTGAAAAGAAAGCACTAGATTCTTACGGTGATCATTAGGTAATTTTTTTTAGTAAGTTGATCTTTAAATAATAATAACACTAAGGAAAATTTGTACCAAGATCAATTTAATAATTTATTTCAAATCTTAACTTTTTCCATCACTTTGCCTTAGATCTTAGATCTTATTTTCCAAACCACAAAGCTTGCTTAAGCTAAGTAACCATTAACGGCACTTGCCTCTAGAAGGAAAACTAAATAGAGTAAAAGAGTCAACCCAGAACCTCTTCCCTTCAACAAGTTCTCTTATCTTCCATCCCAGGCCTTTTCAGTAACAGAATGTCCAGAACAGGCTCCACTTTCAAAATAAATAAATGAAGGAAGGAAGGAAGGAAGGAAGGAAAAGCTCTTGCAGTGACATGTCAGTGTTACATGTGATGCTGCAGACGCGTCCAGTGCAGTTCACACCGGCTAGGGAGTTTTCATGTCTCTGTCTTAGTGGAAGGAGGCAGGAACCCTTATAGAGAACTAAGAAGCTATGTGTAGACTGACACATGTTCTGCTTTTGTCTTTAAATAGATCGGTTTGGGCTGGGCCAGTCAGGAAGAATCCCTGGTTCCGTGAATGCCATGCGAGTACTGAGCACCAGCACAGACCTAGAAGCTGCAGTGGCTGACGCGCTGGTAAGAGGCACAGGAAGGATGGAGTTCGCAGTTGCTCAAACGTGTTTTTCTACCTTAATACAAAATTGCCCTCAAATCGGGGGACTAAATTATCTTTTGCACTCTTCAAAAGGTGTGTGAATAGGACTGGGGTGATGGCTCAACCATTAAATAAAGCACTTGCAAAGGTGAGGACCAGAGTTCAGATCCCAGGACCCACGTGGATACCAGGTTCAGGGGTGGCCTGCCTGTAGTCCCAGCATTCTAGGGCCAGAATGGCATCCTCTGAGAAACCTGGCCAGCTCAATTACATGTTGGCAGTCTGTGGGTTTGCATGAGAGGGTTGTGATCAAGGAAGACTTGACGTCCTCTCAGCCTGCCCCATGCGTGCGCGCGAGTGAGCACATACATACACACACACACACACACACACACACACACACACACACACACACACACACATTGACATGCTCATATCCACACATATATACACAGGAGAAAAAGAGAGAAGTTATGTAAAGTTATTATTGTTTTCTTTCTCACACTTTTGCCTCTTTGCAACACACAGTGAAGTCAGCCTTCAGGAAATAGCAGCATCAAGAGCTTGACCCATGAATGCTCCTTGGCACTCAGGAAATTTTGATGGCATTGGGCTTCCCATATGTCATCAAGCTCTCTCTTTTGTTTCTGTATACCATAGCTGCTTTTCCCACAGTATTTCCTGTTTTCCATCCTGTTGCCTCCATTGCTTTATGAGCTTTGACAGCACAGTCTACATTCATGATTATAACCATAGACGATAAACTTTTAAGACCTGAAAGTTGTATTTATTCTGTTATGTGATTCTGACTTAGATTCCCCCGCCCCCCAAAATGGATCAATTCAGTATTTGAGAAAAATGGCCTAGGTTGGGGAGATGGCTCAGTCAATACAGTACTTGTCCTGCAAGCACAGGGACCCAAGTTTAATCCCCAGAATCCACATATAAAGCTGTGTGTGGTGGTGTACCCTTATCATTGCTGCACCAGAGAGATGGAGATGGGCTGAGTCCAGGAGCTCAGAAGTAAGTGAGATCCTGTCTCACAAACAAGGTAAATAGCATCTCGAAGAATGGTATCTCAGGTTGGCCCCCACTTCTTTCGCTCTCTGTCTTTCTCTCTCACTCACACATACACACAAACATACACACGCATGCATTTTGCATGAATACACATGAAAATGTTCCTAAATGTTAAGCTTTGGTCTCTAAATATCTAAAGCAGTAGTGGAGGGAATTTTGCATATTACATTAAAAAAAAAAAAAACCAAATGCTCATGGCTCTTTAGTCTGTGGCACAGCGAACATTCTGTAGAATCAGCTTGTGGCGAACTTGCCTCCCCGCTAGGAACAGCCTTCTGCACCCGCTTCACATGCTCAGCATTTGAAATAGGTGTCTTCAGAATGGTCTCATAGGCGCCCTGCCCTCTGCTGTTTCAGGATTTATTCTCTTGTTCGGAAAAGAACACACACAAAACACTGCCTTTCAAAACTGCGGTTTTGAGTTTAGCTGGTGCCACCTGATCATCGCTTTATGGTCTGTGGCTGCTGTGAATCCCACTTCCATCCCTTTGCATCTCTGCCTTGTTTGTTCTTGCTCAGTCAGCTGCTTTCTTTAATGTGTATCTGTGAGCAAGCTGTTGGCGGCTCTCAGAAGGCTTTCCTGGTAGTCAGCCAGCCTGGACTGCTCTATTCATCAGCCTAAGCACAGAAGGACTTTTTCCTGGCAGATATTAGAGTGCACAGTACTGTTTGAACCATGGTTGTAACCTAAGAGTCAAGAGCGGGAACAGAATCCAGTGAGGCTTTCTCTTTCCTAGTCAAAGCATTCTGAGTCTGCCTTTTATTATATATTCAGAGACCCTAGGAAGTGGTGGTCAGGGGCTGGGAAACAATGGAGCTGAACCTCAGCTAAGAGGGACTTCCAGTTAAAGCAGAAGATTTTCTTAGTTGTTTAAAGCCCACATAAGGGACCGTGTGCAAAGTTCTAGAAGGCAAAGTGGGGCTAGATATTTCAGACCTTTGCTAATGCTTTGAGCTTTCCTCTGAGCCCCAGTGCCAGTCTGACCAAGCTGCCCTTGCTCCTTTGTCCACTCTGTCTGGTCTCTCCGAGTGACCTGCTTCCGAAGGGGAAAGTGCCGGAATGGTAGGGAATCCTTGCCTACAGAATGGAAGCCCCTGGGGTAGGCAGAAGCTCTCATAGAAACAAATAACAAATAAACAGAGACTTAGAGAGGTACCTCCTGGGTGTGGAAGTCTCAGTGGGAATTCTGCTGTGAACCAGAGAGTCAGGGGAGAGGGGCAGGACTAGGAAATGCTATTCGGGAAGCAGTCTGCTATGATCTCCCCAGACAAACCGCTTGCTGACCTGTGTTTTAGTTTGCTAAGAGATGTTTGCTGTACACTTTTGTTGCCAGAACAATCCCCACATATGCTTCTGACATAATTCTCTATGCTTTTTCCCCGTCCTCCAATACTTTCCTGCCTACAGCTGTTAGGAGACGCCAGGAGCAAGGTACCCGTGCTTTCACTTTTGTTTACAACTTTTTTTTTCTGTTGCAAGTATATTTCTTTTAGAATTTAGTTGAAAACAGCACAAAATGTAGTAGTTGTAGTTAGACATTCTGGTCTCACATGTTTCCGGTAAGCATTCTGATTTGCTGTCTTTACTTTCGATGGGGTCAGTCAACTTTCACATACTTCTGGTTTTTTGTTTTTGTTTTTTAACATCACTCTCTATTCCCTCTCCTTTGTTTCATTTTATTTAACTCATTTTGTGTCTATTTTATCATAATTTCATGAATAGATCTGTCAGCCAACTTTTTTTTCTAATTTTAGGAATCTGTCTTATATGTAAGTGTAAATCATATAGTTTATTATCTAAATCAAAAATATTTTCAAAGGTAAAAACAAGGGGTGCTATGAATGATTTTGCTGGGACAGGAGGCAGTATAGTCGAGAACAAGCTGGTATTCAAAATAATTAAATTATTTGAAAATTAGGACTATCTGTGTAGCTAGAGTCAGTAACTGCATTTAGGAAACATTGTATATGCCAACTTATTGTACTGTTTTACTATATATGGGTTTAACACACTCTATTATGTTCAGGGTATGAGACATTAATGAAGGGAATTGTAGTCTATTTTAAAAAGAAGCCTATTGGGCTGGAGAGTTGGCTCAGAGGTTAAGAGGACTGGCTGCTCTTCCAGAGGTCCTGAGTTCAATTCCCAGAAACCACATGGGGGCGCACCACCATCCGTAATGAGATCTGGTGCCCTCTTCTGGCATGCAGTCATACATGCAGGCAGAACACTGTACACATAATAAATAAATAAATAAATAAATAAATAAATAAATGAAGAAGAAGAAGAAGAAGAAGAAGAAGAAGAAGAAGAAGAAGAAGAAGAAGAAGAAGAAGAAGCCTATTTGCATTATAAAACCAAATGATGTTGTTAACTAAAATGGCTCACACAGTATGGGACCCTTCTGTATAGAATACTTCTACCACTGACATTTCAACTGCAAACTTCTTAAAAGAAAGCATGATTGTTCAAGCCAAGGGCATCCGTCCACAGCCCATGCTTAAGGTAGATTTCTCTGGGCTCTGGAGGGACTGAGCATGTGCACACGTCCACAGTGTATCAGTACTTCATCCTTGAGAGTCCTATAAACCCTCACGGTAGTCTGGTGAGGCAAACATAATGGTTACCCTCCTTGAGAGGATTCACTGAGGCAGAAAATGACACAGTTGTACAGCAGTGATATCAGGATTGGAACCCAAGACCATCTTGCTGAAAATCCTCCTAGCCACCCATGCACATACACACACTTTCTACAAAACATTTTTTTCCTCCCTCAACAAGATGTACAACATGTCACTTATATCACTATCTTGACAATTCCCTAATCTGTAAGCATAGAAAATGTGTGTGTGTGTGTGTGTTTACATTTAATTCTGCACTGTAGCTTTTAGTAAATGACTTGTGAAAGGTTCACCTTTCTCCTTCTTCCTTACCCCGCCCCTCCTGGGACATTTCAGAAGAAGCCTGTGAGGAGGAGGTACGAGCCCTATGGAATGTACTCTGACGATGATGCCAACAGTGACGCCTCCAGTGTGTGTTCTGAGCGCTCATACGGCTCCAGGAATGGTGGCATTCCCCATTATCTGCGGCAGACTGAGGATGTAGCAGAAGTTCTCAACCACTGTGCTAGTTCCAACTGGTCGGAAAGGAAAGAGGGGCTCCTGGGCCTACAGAACTTACTGAAGAGCCAAAGAACACTGAGGTGAGGACAAGACACTGCCATGAGCTACATCCCAGTCCTCCGTTAGATTCATGGGGGCTTTGAGGGAGTCTGCCATTACAGAGTCTTTGTAAAGTCTAGTCACTGGGTGCTAACAATGGGAAGACATAGTGCTTGCCACACCTAGCAAATTCTCTGTAATCTGTTAGGCTGCTAAGGCATTTGGTTCCTGTAAGGAGCACATCTGTCCACTAGATGATGCTTCTGAGGAGTCAGGCCCAGAGAGCAGCTGCACATTGCTAGGGCTTTGCTCCTTTCCAGGCTCCAGGATGAAGTGCAGCATCTGTGAACTCATACTGCTCATGTGTACAGCTTAGACTTGTGCCCAGCAAGCCCAAGGTGAAATAGAGCACTCCCCAGTAGAAGCAGCACGTTAGCTTTACAGTGATTATTTCTTGTGATTTCTTTTGATATTTCATAAAGTTTTCAAATAAGCAAGTATTACACATACCAAAAGAGTGTGCATTATGTCACATTTCATCACACCTAAGCTGCCATCGGCATGCCATTATTTTGTAACTCATGAAATAATAGAAAGATAGCTAGGTATGGGGTAGTCTATGCCTGGAGTCTCAGTGCTTGCGAATCTGAAGCAGAAGGAACCCCTGTTAGTTTGGGGCCAGTTTGGACTACAGAGTGATATCTTGTCTCCATGCTTCCCCAAAATAAAAGGGGGAAAAAAAAAGGATTGGGGGAAGGAGAGAGGATGATACATTCTGTTCACTAATCAAGCTGTTAATATGTCCTTGGTTTTAAGACCAATCTGCTAAGCAGATGTGAGTGAAGAGTGTGGAAGCCATGAACACACTGTATTACAATTTTTGAGTATTAGCTGCAGAGAAGGGCATTTTTTCTTTTTTTAAATTTGTGAGCCTAAATGGGTTTGTGGCTGTGGATGGAGGACCCTTCTGGGCCCCGTGTGGTTCATACCTGTTTGGCTGTCCAGTCTGCCTATACACACCATATTCACCCTCGCTCCCATTAGCCCATTCTGCCCATGAAGGTGATATGAGAGGTTCATCCCATCCTTCTGAAACACAGACACCCTTGTGATTTGTCAAACACAACGTGGATGTGATTTGTCATGGTTGTTCTTGAAGCTCTGTTTGGTCTTGTTGACTAGTCCACTTTCTAGATTTTTGGTGTTTACTAGGTACACCCAGATGGTCCTTGTGAATCTGCTAGCACCTCTAGGTTACTGAAGGATTGTTGAGGCATCTGTATCTCAGATGTGTGAAGGTGTATTGTCCCAGGGTGACAGGAAGAAAGAATCTTTCTTCCCGACCTTGATGTGAAAAGGGGACTCGCATACGCTGCTGGGATGAGAAAAGGCAGAGGACACCAGTCAGCACTGAGGCTTTTCTTGGTCCCAGTGTTAACTGTTGTCTTGTACTCTCCTCAGAACTGTGGCATAGTGCTTATCCTCAGTTCCCAGCTGAAAAGAAGGCACAAAGATGCCACTGTACGTGGTAAGAGTGCAAGTCTGTGGCCCAGTGAGATGATGGCTCAGTGGATAAAGTGGCTACTGCCAAGCCTGACAACCTGCGTTCAATCTGTGGGCCCCACGTGGTAGGAGGAGAAAACTGAACTTTCTCCCACAGGTTGTCCTGTGATCTACACACACACACACACACACACACACACACACACACACACACACAAACACACACACACCCAGAGAGAGAGAGGGGGGAGGAGAGAGAGTAAATAAATATGAAAATATGCAAGATAAGTTTTTAAAAAATAGTTTGGAGAGTTAGGTCATGGTGGCATGGACTTGTAACCTCAACCCTTAAGCCTGGCACAGACCTGGGCTGAAGTAAGGGGATTTGACTCATCTGTCCACTTCAGGGTGGCAATGAGCAGATGGCAATCAAATCTGTTTCCTCATCTTAAAATAAGTCAAAGACTGTGGCTTTTAGAATCTCAATTTCATCACAAATTAGATAATTCATCTGAAATAGGTTTGTTGTTGTTTTATTTAACTAAAGATAAGGTAAAGAGTTTTTCTAAGCAAAGCTCTGACTAGTTGCACTGGTGATATTACATTTTAAACTCATTTATTTCCACTTTTTTTCCTCTAGTCGTGTAGAATTGAAGAGATTGTGTGAGATTTTCACCCGAATGTTTGCTGATCCTCACAGCAAGGTAACCAGGCCTTATGTATGTTCCATCTGCATGCCTGTGCAAACTATATAATATACCCCTGAACTGAGAGAGAATTCCCCAATAGTCTTCATTAACATCTTCCTAAGTGCAATCCTTGGGAACTTACATGGCCATCAATTTCACATTAAGTGTGCCTCAAATAAGGAGTGTCATGAAAGGAATCAGATGGAATCTTTTATTCAGTCACCTATTTGACTGTCTCCTTTTAGCCAAACTGTGTGCTAGGTTCTAGAATATAATATAGTACATTTGAAAAATGTTAGTTTTGGAAATGTATATGATTACTTTGGTATCTCATGTAGAATTGTATTCATAGGATAAGACAGAAAAATAGAAGTATTTATTTGTTTCCTTTATTGGAAAACCAAGTTCAGCGCTGCACCCCCCCCCCCCCAATGGAATCTGGCTGTTCCCTAGAGCTTGCTGGATAGAGTTCTCCTAGGTGGTCCGCTGCCTTCAGGAAGACAATGAACACCAAGCTTGAGGACTGCTGAGGAGAAACTATACAGAGGGTGGAATGAAGTCCTTTCCAGGAGTAGTGCTGAAAGTGGCCTCTTTATAAAAGTTCCTGGGATCTAACAGTATTTTAAGTAAATACTGTTGTTAGGGAAGAGGCTAGTTAGGGCTATTGATGCTGGAAGAGTGAGAAAATGGAGAAATGATGACAACAGGTAGTTAAAGGGTAAACACAGGATAGATATTAGAGTGTGGAAATGAATAGGACCTAAATTCATTTGGGACAGGATTGCACTACAGTTTCCTAGTAAAGATGGTCTCTTCCAAGTCATACTGGGAGGGAAAAAAAAAAAACTGTGGTAGCCAGATTGTCCAGCAAATTGCTTTTCTTTCTTCTGTCCTGTCCTTGCTTCCTCATAGAAATTGTCCTTGAAGTACTAAATATCCATCCACCCACATGTCTATTTAAATATTCACCCCCCCATCAGTTCATCCATTCACCCATCTATCCTTCTGCCTATCCATCCGTCCACCTACTGTCCATCTATCCATCCATCTACCCACTCACGCACCTATTCATTCACCCATCCACCTCCATCCATCCACCCATGTACCCACTCACTACCCATCCATTCACTATTTCTTTCCTGAATTCCTGCCATGAGCTAGGGATATGGAAAAACAAGCAAGCCCCTTGCCCTGGAGGCACTCACAAAAGCACAGGGACCAAACACAGGTTACTTCTCCTGCTTGTTCCTGCAACAGCTCTTCACTGTATCAGCTATGAAGCCTGTCTGTGAAGGCCTTCCAGAAAGGACAGCATCAAAAGCATTAACTTTAAAGTCCCCAAAAGACTGAGTTTAAAAGCTACATAGATAACCAAAGATCTGATCCTCAAGATTGTTCTCTGTGGAGGTATTAAGAGCAATACAATTTAAAGCATAAGCATGCTGTAACTGGTAAGAGTTATACCATAAGGGATATTATGATAGATGGTTTCACATTGATGAACTTTTTGTTACCCGTTACCTCTAGATTGCTGATTCAGAAGCAGAATGTGAGGATAAAGAAGGAAATTTGTTGCCATCAGAAGGCTCTTGTCCAGTGAGTTGGAGGTGTCAGTTTAGTTCATATTTATTAGCCAAGCTAGGGATCCCACCTCTCAGAGCTCACTGACTTTTTTTTCCCTGAGCTATCACTGGAGACCCCTGGTGGTGAATAGTTGCTGTGATATGATTGAGGAGGTGTGGGATGGGTGTCCCAGCACAGCACTGGGGTTGGGGAGTCAGTGCCACTTCCTTCCCTGAAACAGGCTTAGGGATACTGCACCGTTCACTGTTTTACTTCAGGTAGGAGCAGTAACCTCATGGTGGCGTGAGAATTAACAGGAGTTGTTAGTAGCTCCTCCGATAACACCTTCATAACATCTGAAATTGGCGCACGTCAAACTCCTTGACAAAAGTCAATGGTTGCAGAAACCTGAGTAGGGCTTCTACCCTTTACATCCTGTAGTAATGTGTTGAATGCTAGGGCTTGAGTCAGACTAGTATAAAATCAGAACAAAACACCACCACCCCGTCTCTGTCTCTTTCTTTCTCTCTCTCTCTCTCTCTCTCTCTCTCTCTCTGAAAACCCTCCAGGATTAAACTCTAAATAGTTAATTTCTCTTTGTACTGACAGTTACAGGTTTACATTGAGGGAGAAGAGTTTTATCAGTTTGTAGCTTTTTCAGAATTCTTAAAAGAAACTGCATGAAACTGGTATTCCTTTGCTGTGGACTAACATGGAATTTGTTTTGTTGCATGGCCTGGTGTGCGGTGGAATTCACAACAGAGAGTAAGTGTCAACCACCCCCACACCCCTACCCACACCCCCACAATCCCAACCATACCCCCACACCTCCATCCCAATTCTGCTGTGCATTCATCTCTGATGACGAGAGCAGCAAACATTGTTAACCTAAGTGACAAGACTGGGCAAAGCCAGCACAGGCAGCCTAGTATCCTGGTTTGCAGTGTCCTTGGGCTGTGGAAGAGATCCTGAATGCAGGGTGTGATGTGCTTGGTTTTCTCTTGGTGCAGGTTTTCAGTATGTTTTTGGAGACCCTCGTGGACTTTATAATCATTCATAAGGATGACTTGCAAGACTGGCTTTTCGTCCTTCTCACACAGTTACTTAAGAAAATGGGAGCAGACTTACTTGGATCTGTGCAGGCGAAAGTTCAAAAGGCACTGGATGTCACCAGGTAAGCACTCAGGGGTTTGCCCTTGGTGCTGCTGGTGGAATCTTAGCCATGGTTTTAGTCTTTGCTTGTTTCTCATACTTTGGTTGACATATCTCACCAGTCCAGGAGATAAGAGTGCCATGTCATCTCCAAGTTATCGATATTTTATGAGTGCCTATAGAATATATAGAACTTTAAAAAACAATCCCTTTTCTAAAATATTTGCTTACATCTTTCTGTAGGTTTTAGTTTTTGTTTTGTTTTTGTTTTGTTTTGTTTTGTTTTGTTTTGTTTTGTTTTTCAAGACATGGTTTCTCACTGTAGCTTTCTTTGGGGGCTGCCTTGAAACTAGCTCTTGTAGACCAGGCTGGCCTCAAACTCACAGAGCTCTGCGTGCCTCTGCCTCCCGAGTACTGGGATTAAAGGTGTGTACCACCACAGCCCAGCAGGTTTTAGATTTTAACACTTTTTTAATATATAATTTGCCTCAGCAATTTATTAATATATGATGTAGAAATCTTGTGGGAACATAAACTATCTCTAAATTGGCTATACTGGGACTGGGCTATACTGAGTTGGAACTAAAGGCATGCACAAGCACTTAAGTTTAGGTTCCAGAACCCTGTTTGCACCTGTAATCCTAGCACTGGGGAGGTAGGGACAGAAGGGTGCTAGGGCTCGCTCATTAGTCAGTCCAACCAAATCAGCGAGAGACCCTGCCTCAAAAAGTAAAGATGAGGAGTGCCTAAGGATGGCACCTGATGTTGACCTTCTGGCCTCCACATGCACTTCGTGTGCGTGCATGTGTGTGTGTGTGTACAGAAATAAATAAGTACTAATTAATAAGAAATAATTAATGCACACATGTACAGAAATAAATAGTTTCTCAGCTCAGAGTTTGAAAGCATGACAAGTCTTCATAGCCCATCTGGCTGCTCTCCAGAAGCCTGGTGTCAGATGTGTAGTTAAGGAGTCTTAGCATGCCTGGGCTAGAAAGAAGTGAATGATCTTAGAAGACACTCATGGGGACCTGACTGATATGGTAGAAGGTAGAGGCAAAAGGGAGACTCACAGATCTTTGAGGCAGTAGCCTTCATAGAACCCAAATCTTACATGCTAGGAGAGACGCCAGGTATCATGGGATTTTCATAACTAAGGAGCTCAGAGATGAAATGTATTTTCTTGGTGAGAAACAGAAGCCACCATGACTTGCCTAAGGTCACAATTAGTATTGTTGCCAGGATTTCTGGCCTTCACTTTTTTGTCTGCCACTAGGATTCCAGACTGCCCCGTAGGTTTGTGTCCTGCCCTCCTGCACCTTCTTGCTCAGTTAGCATATGCCATTCCACCATCACACCCATGCTTGCAGCTGCCATGTGACCAACTGCCATGTGGGATTTGTGACTTACACTCTGCTACCAGCAGGTGCCGTAGCCTGTAACTTGTGTACTTTGCACAGATTTTGAACACACTTTTTTCTGATTTTGAAAGAACTAAGACTTGCATACATTGTGATAATAAGGCTTCCAAACTCTCCACTGGATGATTCATTTTAGCAGAACTGGGGAGCAGTACTGTGTACCAGTGCCATGAGGCCTTACAGAGGGGCATCTCAGGATTGGCCGGGTGGTCTGGTCAGATACAGCTGTGCAAACAGCCAAGCAGGTAGGAAGGAGGGTCACTGACATCATGACAGCTGACACCACTTTTAGTCTTACTAAAATGTGGATCCAGTGTTACCAGGCTTTATACAAGGGCAAAAGCATAGATTTGGGTAACATATTTAAAGATGTTTTTGTGACCCTGTGAAAACCAAATAAAACATGTGAGTCAGAGTTAGTTCAGGGGTGTCTCAATTCTGGTGAGTTTATGAATGAAACATTAAGCTTTTTCAAATGGTGGGAATATTAATATTATAGTCCTAAGTTTTGGTAATTAAGGAATACAGTTGGATGTAGCTCGTGAATTTTCTCTTTCCTCCCCAACCCAGTTCCCTACACACACACACACACACACACACACACACACACACACACGGAAAAAAATAGAATTGTATGTTAGTTACTTTTCCTTGACCTCCCCTTGTAAGAGTGCTAATTTTAGGTTGGGGAGATGACTCAGCACTTGCCCCACAAGCATGAGGACCAAAGAGATTGGCAGAATCCATGTACAAGCCAAGTCGCCGTAGTGAACATGTGTAATCCCAAAACTTGGAGAGCAGAGGTGGGAGATCTCCAGAGCAAGCTGGCTAGCTAGACTGGCCAGAATTGAGCTCTGGATTCATGTTAGAGATCCACTCTCAGTAAACTGAGTAATCAAAGCAGATACTCAGCATCATCATAGGCACACAGATGCACAAGCAAAAATAGAGGAAACTGAAGTGAACTTGGTGTCTAAGGCATTTGTGTGTCCGTCGCCTCCCCACCATCCCCCATCCCCTACCCACTTAACTGAGATGTACAGCTGTTCTTGTGGGAAAGGTCAGATAGGTGCAGGAACTGGAAAGATGGCCTAGCTGCAGGCCCCGGAGGACACTGCATCTTATCAGTGATTATTCACCATGAGCAACTTGCTCCACTTTCTAATCTACCCTGGCTTCCTTGCCCCCAGCCATGCCTAAAACAGGCACATTTCCTCCCCAAACATAATAGCATGTCTCCACCTGCTGGAAGTGGAAGCAGGAAAGGCTTGTTGACTACTTGAATGGCAACACCAAAGTGCACTTTGTCCTAGATGTAGCCTGCTGTGGCTTCCAGCATATAAATAGATGTGGAAATAAGGTTGCTCTTGGGTTGGTTTTGTCACTTTCCAGGGCAAGGGGATCCCAAGGCTTTGCACATGTTAGGCAGGTGCTCTGCCACTTAGCTCAAGTTAGTTTTTTATTAGTAATTATGATTAAAACATTGGTTCATTGGGCTGGAGAGATGGCTCAGAGGTTAAGAGCACCGACTCCTCTTCCAGAGGTCCTGAGTTCAATTCCCAGCAACCACATGGTGGCTCACAACCATCTATAATGAGATCTGGTGCCCTCTTCTAGTCTGCAAGCATACATGCAAACAAAACACTGTATACATAATAATAAATAAATCTTTAAAAAAAAAGCATTTGTTCATCAAAAAGTAGTTAAAAAAAAAACACTGGTTCATAGTATGGTCTCCTTTATTAAATTTTGTAGTTTTCTTGTATTAGTTCTTCAATTTCCACTTCAGTCTTGGAATACTTGGTAACACTTCTTCCTGTATTGGAGATTCAACCCTGCATTCTTAGTCACTTTCTCATACCTCTGTAGGAAGTTTCTTAAGAGATGCCAAAGAAAACAGTCTTTATCACTCAGCCCAGGTACTCAGCCATCATATCTTTCCTGCGAAGAGGACGGCGTTATATCCGAGTAGCTCCATTATGCAATTTTAAACTAGTGGTTGTGATTGTCACAGTGTTAGACTGAAAGGACTGATGTCCCTAGCCAGAAGCCCCAGGCTTGCTTGATTGGATCAGACACGTACAGTGACTGTGATACATGGGCTTAGTCTCAGGCTTGAGGCACGAGAAGTAGCTGCTCGCACTTGATGCATCTGTATGAGCCATAGCTGTGTTGAGAATTTCCAGCACTGAGCATCACATGGACTTTTTCTCTGGGGACTGTAGGAGGGTCACCTGCACATACAGGACTAGAAAGACATCTACTTAGCCTCGGAGAGTGGGGGTCACCATTCTTCTAGTAAGCAATGCCCAGGGAAGGGGAGGAGGCAGGAGATCGCCTGCTTCCCTACATTCTCTGCCTAGTCTTCCAATTTAAAGTAGCTACGCAAAAGTGGCCTGTGTACTTTTCCCTGAGTTTTGTATATGTAAATGTTAATTTAGTATTTATATAAAATGAAAAGTACCATTCATAAAATTGTGAATGTAAATCTCAACACTTGGGAGGCAGAGGCAGGCAGATCTCTGAGTTGGAGACCACCCTGGTCTACAAGAGCTAGTTCCAGGATAGCCTCCAAAGCCACAGGGAAACCCTGTCTCAAAAAACCAAAAAAAAAAAAGTGAGTGTAATTTTATATATACATTCAGCCGGATATTCTGTATAGTTTTATGTTCTTTTCTGTACTAAATTTCTTTAGAAATAAGAACTTGGTTTTGTTTTCTTGTCCTAGGGATTCTTTTCCATTTGATCAACAATTTAACATTTTGATGAGATTTATTGTGGATCAGACTCAGACTCCAAATCTCAAGGTGGGTGGCTGTTGATGTTGCTTTCCCTGCCCACTCTGTCCTGTGTGGCTTGTGGTATGTCAGCATAACCCGGAGCACCTCTGTCAGCTCTCTGGACATGCTCTCATTTCCCTTGGCCCTAGGTGACTAGTTCCTTGCATAGGCAAATGCCTAAATCTTTAAGGATCTGCCAGTGGGGCTAGAGAGATGGCTCAGAGGTTAAGAGCACTGCCTGTTCTTCCAAAGGTCCTGAGTTCAATTCCCAGCAACCACATGGTGGCTCACAATGAGATTCGGTGCCCTCTACTGGCCTGCAGGGACACATGCAGGCAAAACACTGTATACATCATAAATAAATCTTTAAAAAAAAAAAAAAGGATCTGCCAAAATAATTGTGCCAAATTCTATTCCTGCCAACAATTGTTCATTAGCCTTTGCACAGGTGATGCTGTAACTAACAAAGGAAGGTGTTTTCATGTGCTGTAATGATCAGTGCAGTGTTAGAATACTTTCAGTAGAATGTTCTCTAAGGCAGATAGAAAGTCACACCTGTATGGCAGGATAACTCAGTTATGTTATACAAAGGAAGAGGCTGTGTGTGGTCATATGCTGTCTATTCCCTGACTACTGCCTTTTCCTGAGGCTCTCAGATTGGTCTCATAGATAATAGTCCCTCTCTTCTGAGATCAAAATCCAGTGGAGAAACTGGGGCAGAGTATGAACTAGGGGTGGGAATTCCTCCCAGGACCTGGCCCAGAATGCTTCACAGAACTGGCTTAAGAGCTGAGCTTGGCCTCCTGGCCAGTGGGAGAACTGCTCTCTTTAAGAATCTAGGAAAGGGCTGGGCATTGATGGCGCACACCTTTAATCCCAGCACTTGGGAGGCAGAGGCTAGCGGATCTCTGTGAGTTCCAGGCCAGCCTGGTCTACCAAGCAAATTCCAGGACAGGCTCCAAAACAACAATACAGAGAAACCCTGTCTCAAAACTAAAACAAACAAACAAAAAATCCAGGAATGGGACTGGAGAGATGTCTCAGCCCTTAAGCACAAGCTGCTCTTCCAGAGGACCTGAGTTCAATTCCCAACACCTACATAGCTGCTCACGGCTGTGTGTAACTCCAGTTCCAGAGAATCTGGCAACCTCACACAGACATGCATGCAGGCAAAATACCAATGCACATAAAATAAAAATAGATAAATCTTAAAAAGAAAACGAATCTAGGAATGTGCATGTGGAGTGGCTGTCACCCCATGCAGAAACAGCGTGGGGGCGGAGGGGAGGGAGGGCAGGCTTTACCAGCTGAGACTTCTGTTCAGTCTGTGACATGTTCTTAACATTTAAAATCTTTGTCTCTCAGGTAAAAGTTGCCATCCTGAGATACATCGAGTCTCTGGCCAGGCAGATGGACCCCACAGATTTTGTAAACTCCAGTGAAACAAGGCTTGCTGTTTCTAGAATCATAACGTGGACTACAGAACCAAAGAGTTCAGACGTGAGAAAGGTATGTTCACAGAGCTGCAGCAAAGCTGCAGACTCTTCCTAGGTATGC